TCACATGCTCGTGAAATTGGCCAAATCAAATCCATTCCAGTTTTCAAAATAGTGAGGAGGGATAAGAAATAAACTACACCAGAAACAGACATTCCAGGGCAACACTTCAAGCACTATTTCAAGGAGGCAATTAAAAATAAAAGTGCCATGTCTCCCTCAGCAACAGAAAGGTTTACATAAACCGACACACTCCAGGCCACACTGCACAGGGGAAACCACTCCGACGCCAAAGCAGCTCGTCTCCTCCAGCGGCCTGAATTACCATAAATCCCGAAGGAAGCCCAACTCATTTAAGCGTACCTCACAGCCAAAGCTGTTTACAGCATTCACTCCGATGCAGACTAGCTGCTTAAATTTGGAGACACACAGAAGCTGGACTGGTATTGAGTGTTCTTTTTCACGACGCATTTAAGAGCGCCTTCTTTACTCGCTAATACAAGACGGATAAACACAAACACCGGCGGATTTCCCCCCCATTGTTTATTAGACTCCGGCAAACAGCTACACTGAACAATTCCTCTCAAAGGACTAGGGCCAGCAGTGGTGATTTTTATTTGAGGGCGGCAGCCCAACTCCTACCGCAGCATAGCGAACAGAGGCGCCCACTCGCCGCTTCACGCAAGACCTTTCTTGGGGGCTGGTGAACGCTGTACTCGCTCCCCGCCATCAAGGTTACTTGGAGAAGGGCGAAAACCTGAAAGCGCGCGTCCAAAATGCAGGACCCGCCTAGCTCATCAAGGCTGGGTGGTTTTCCTGTTTCCAGGTGGGGAGCCCCTAGAAAGGGGCGCTTCCACAATCCGGCGGGCGAGCGTGCTTGGGGGTAAGGTAGAAAGAGGATAGCACCCCACTCCGGGTCTCCACCGGGCGCCCAGCGGGAGGGCGTGAGCACAAGGTCTGGATGCAGATCCCAGCGGCAGCGGCGGCAGCAGCGCCCGCAGCCGCAGGAGCTCGCAGGGGAGGCTTGCATTGTCCCCGGGGAGGGCGGGGTTGGCGCCTCGGCTTCACAGGGATCCCCGAGGGCCAGCGGAGCCGCGGCGCCAAGTGGGGGCAGGGAGGCGCGCCCGCACCGCCCCCGCACCGCCAGCTCCCCGCAACCCCGATGCCTTTCATTTGGCCTCTGCAGCTGCATAAGCGCCCGTCTCCAGCTCCAAGCACTGCGCCAAGTGGGAGGCGGCGGGAGCGGAGGAGGAGGCGGGCGCCAGACAGCCGCAGCGCCGGACCCTCTCCGCACCGCGCTCCGGCCGCGGCCAGTCGCCCCCGCCGCCGCAGGCTCCTTCCCGGTGGATGAGGGAGACGGCGCTCCAGCGCGAGCGGCCCCTACCTCGATATAGCCAGCCAGCGCCGCGGCGGGCGCCGTGAGTCCAAGCAGCAGTAGGACCAGAAGCCTGCCCATGGCCGCGGTGGTTGCGGTCCGGGTCACCGCCATCCCCTCGCCGGTAGCGCTAGCGGAGCGCTCCCAAACTCAAAGCAGCTGAGAGCGCTTCCCCCGCCGCGACCCAGAGCATCTGAAACCCGCTCGCCGCCGCCCCGGGGGTTTTACAGCCACCGGAACTGACTTCACCAAACCACACCCCTCTTTTCGTGGTGCCCAATGGTGGCCCGAAGGGCCTCCCGAGGGGCTGTCCCTCTGCTCCGCCACGGCCCAATCAGGGAGAGGCAGAGTCGGCCGTTCCCGCCCAGCCCCGTGCGGGCCTTCGTCTCCGCTCCGCGAGGCTCGCTTGTCCCGACCAGCCCCGCCCCCAGCCACGGACGGCCCCGCCCACGCTGCGACCCTGCGGCTGCGGGGCTGGGGCAGCGCGCGGGGTCTACCGGCCACCGCAGCGCGGCCCCAGCTTGGGAAGCTGGACCCGGCATCGCCCAGG